GAGAGAGAGAGACCTGATAAAGGGAAAGAAATAGAAAAGTATAGGAAGTCGAACTCAGAGGGGTAAGAGATGCGTGAGGAAGGAGCGTGGGAAAGAAGGGGGGAGAGTGAAGTGCGTGAGTGTGGGAGAGAAGGGGGACAAGAGAACGAGTCAAGGGGTGAGCAGAGGAGACAGTATGAAAGTTATGAACAGTAGAGAGAAAAGGAGCAGCTAGATAATTACTTTAGAAAAGAGTGAGCGGTGTTTTGACGAGGAACAGGCAAGAGAGAGAAACCAAAAGACGAAGAGAGGGTAGAAAGAGCCCGAGCGAGTCGCTCGCAAACCAGGTACTGGGAAGCCTTGATAAAGGCAGTTCTAGCTGCCGGGAGTTCTACCCCCGGCAGCTGGGGCATGGGAAGGCAGTGAACTCATTACGAGCTGCTACCAAAAACCCCGCTCAGGGAAGGTACTGTACCTTCTCTCATAGGGAGTATGAGCTTGTTTATGGCCTGGGCTCCATGATTCTGTTTCGAAAATGGGGATAACGCATGATGAAGCATCCTCATCTATTGATTCCTAGAATGAGACTAGGCGAGACGTATAGCGAGGTACTAAACAGTCCTGTGAGGAACGATTCCAGGGAAAGAGGGAAGGGCACTTTTGTGTACTGTACGAAATGCGAGACCCATGCCTCCATCTAGTGGGCTGGAGGAGAACTTTAACATTTCCCAAAAACTTACGAGCTGTGGCTATAAAGTTCCCGGAGTGGCTCTGTTATCTTTGCCAAGAGTGGGGGATTGGTGGTGGGGGGGTTATTGCACGATAGGTGGGGACCTTGACTCTTATTGTGTGCAGTCCTGTTTAATTTCAAGTAGTCTGCCGGTGTAAGTGACACAAAATACAAGTGCGTTTTTTTTAGAGGTGGAAAAATGTGTGAACAACATGTTAACATTAAATTTTGCGTGAAATTGGGGAAATCACTGACTGAGACGCTTTCAATGCTGCGACAAGCCTGCAGAGAACCAATAACTGTATTGGATATCAGTGCGAGGAGGAAGAACGTACAGCACACAACATCAACCCTCGATTACAACTCCCTCAAGGGTTCAATGAATGTCCCGCATCCTCGCAAAATTTCTCCCCTATTCTCCAAATTCGACTTTTTTCTCGACCCCCGATCCGACGCCTCTCCCCCCCCCCCCCCCTCCCCCCCAACTCTCCTCGCGCGGTCTTTCATAGTCTCTTCACTCCAGGACATGCGTGCCTGTACATCTGTCCAACCCCACTATGAAGATGATTCGTAACAAGCACCTCCGACAGTCACCGATACAAAGGCGGAAGCAGTCGCGAATTTGACAACTCCGGCACGATAACCGGCAACTCTGGGGGACGGGACCGGACGCCAACACGCTAAGCCTCAGTGACCGACTGTTCTTTTTCTTTTTCATAGCGAACAAAGAACAAAAGATGCATTGCAAAGAACAAAAAGGACACTTTTCGTGATCTACAATTCAATATCTTTCTTTTGACTAGAATACTCCTTTCAGAAAACATCCCAGGAGGGGTGGGGGAGCGTAAATATAAATACAAAATGAAATAGACATCTTCAAAAAGCAAGATTCTGTGTTCTCCGTTATCCCAGGTAATTGAAGCGTCAAATTCGCTGGAGCGATCCCGTGTCGAGAGGGGAAGAAGCATGCCCAATCTCATGACTTTAGATGTTCTCAGAGGAGTCGAATTTCGCGACAGGAAGGGGTTGAAGAAAGGGAATATGCGTGGAAGCATTTATTGACGTCTGACAATGTTCACGTGAAATCTGGGTGATGAAAGGGTGAGTGCTGCGAATGTTGGCACTTGTAGCAAATTCTGCACTTCCTCCTTGCTTGTTGGTTTTCGTAATGGAGCTTCCTCGTCATATTGGGTCTGGTGGTACCTTTATTATAAACCTTGTACCACTAACCTCGAGTGCCCCAGGCCTTTCATTTCCGAGGGCCTGGGTCAAAGGTGAAGTTGGGTCAGATGTTGGCAATCTCGGCACACTTGCTGGTATAGATGGCACCACTCTTTCGGGAATCTCGGCACACTTATGTATCACTGTCGTTTACAACGGATCCAGAAATGAATGCAACGACTTGATGAAACAATACCTAATGTGGAAGAAAAGAAAAAAAAGTGCAAAATCACAAGATTTCGCAAGATTTTCGATGTGCGCTCAGAGAAAGTGGCCACGGCGAGAAAACTACAACAGCAAATATGGCTGTTCCAAGCATATGTTAACAACATTAGTCCTACCATCTGAGAATACTTATACATATCTACCCGTGCCCAGGGGACTAGTAGTGGAAGCAGAATTTTGACGATTGCAATGTGCCGAGATTACCCCCAATGCCGACATTCGCAGTACTTACCCTATTTTGCTAAATGGCTCGGCTCTGCTCCAACATCCTCTATCTACTCACCAAGGAACTGAACGACAAACTTTTCTTAAATTTCCAGGAGACCAACGAGACGTGATTAGGACGTCCTCCATTTTCTATAAAGATGTTTTGCTTGAAACTTTCTCTGCAGTCATAGTGGGTTGGAGACATTTTTTATCTATCATCCTTTGTGCATTTACTTCTAGGTTCCTTGGAAAATACATTCCCTCTAGCAATTCATACTTAAATGTGAATTTTACTTCGGCAAAGGACACTCTTTCAAAACGGGTACATATTTGATAAAATAACACTCGTTCTACCCTCGATCCGTCGGTCGGTCAACGTCCTCCAGATGAGACCACGGCTAAATGCTACCGTATGCAGTTTGCTGGGGTCGGAGGACGACGGGATACACTGGCCGATTCGGTGCGTTCATCTTGCTTTTCCTCAGCGCTTCGATGGCCGCATGGCTTCGCCGAGTGGCCACCACCCCGCCGACGTTGCTTAGAACTGGAAGAATGTAGACTCGGTTCAAGATGCGCAAGAAGGGAATGGATGCGAGTGATGTCCAGTCGTACAAGTAAACACAATTATTGACAGATCCAAATCCAAGATTTCTGACTCCTGAAGGATTCTTTCATTCAGATCAAAGATACAGTATTTCAGTAAATGACATGTCCCACATGGACATGACACACCTGGGGTCTGTTCTTTGCCTCTGTTAAATTTAATCTAAGTCTGAATCTAAATCTAAATCTTAGTCTAAATCTATATCTTTTGCTTTTAGGCTGCTTTTAGGGAGATTAAGTTAAGATTTAGATTTAGATTTCGATTTAAATTTAGATTTAGCAGAGACGAGGAACAGGCCCCAGTTTTGTTAAACTTCATCTAAATCTAAGTCTAAAGCTAAGTCTAAATCTAAATCTAACCGTGAACATAAACTGAAAGCCTTTTAAAACGCAGCCAAAGGAGTTCCTAGCCTCAGTGCTGAGTGACCACTTTTAGGCTAAATTAAGTTCAGATTTAAATAAAGTTTCGAGCTAAATTTAATCTGAACATGATCTGAAGGGATTGCAAAAGCAATCAAGGGATCCTGCTGTTCCTAATCTCAGTGCGAAATTAACGCACGTGTACACAGGACATTGGGAAGGGGCCGGTGGGGGCAAAACCGGAATTACCCATCTGAAGGGGATGACATTTTTATGAAGTGATCTTGGACTCCCATATGATGTTGGACAAACAATCCGAGTTCTCTCCTATCATCCCAACATTTAGACGACATTTAATGGGGGGTTTTTGAACAGAGCATTATCCAATAATCCAGCTTTATTTCAGAGAAAATGCATGATAAATCTGGTGAATTAAATAATTAATAATAATAATAATAATAATAATCCACCCTTTGAACAGGTCGGACTTGTCTAAAAATGTTCCTCCTTTTAAAGGAAGTTTTAGCAAGAGTCTGGGCGAAGAAGAGACTTTTTGCTTTTAGACTGCTTTTAGACTTAGATTTAGATTTAGATTAAGTTTGGCAGAGGTGAGGAACAAACCCCTGGACACCAGGAGGTGTTATTTTTTGGGCAAGGAGGCCCTTTGAAAAATAAGTATGACTACGAAGAAAAAAAAACACTATTGTTCCACTCACCGGCAGATAGGAAAAATCCAACAATGCGACTGTAATTCAAGAAGCATATACACTGCTTTGGGTCCGAATTCCCGCAAAAATCGTCACAAAATTTCAAGCGAGCGATGATGGCAGCAATCCCGAACCCGATCAAGACGATCCCGAGTACGATGAAGACCCAGCCTGCGATGATGATCCTCTTCGCCGTCTGACATGCAAAGCAGATCCCTCAACATCTCTCGATCGAGAGCGTTGGACTGAAACGACTGAGATTTCAAGAACTGACCCTGACAGTGACGGTGCTGATTCCACAGCCGAAGTCGAGTCGAACTGGTTCATGGTTGGCCACTATCACATTCGGGCTCGCCATCTTCGTTTTTACGACTGGGATGAATGCGTTCCAGGGGGAACGACTAAATGGAAAAATATCATTCAGCCTCAAAAGCTTGAGATAAGACGTGCGCATGTGACGTTAGCGTCCGACGCATGTGTATCTGTTAGCGTATCAGTAATCATGGCTCTCAAGATTCAAGATTTAGGAATGTGAAGAGTCAGTTCTGCCGGCGGTGCACATCCCTTGGCATCTAACCTTCTCTTGAAGGTATTCATGGGGGAAGGGGGGGGGGGGGGGGGGCAGCCACTACTGTATATAGTCGCTCAACGCATTCCATGCCTCCACGATCCTACAGATAAAAAAGTTTTGATGCGATTTGAGCCGCACTTGCGGTTTACGCAGTTAAAGTTGGTTACCTCTCGTTCTGCGGCTGCCTTCGAATGGGTAGAACATCTCACGCTCTACGTTGTCGATGATTTTGATGATTTTGAAAGCCTAAATGAGGTTCTCCCTCGTTATCTCGAGCGAGAACAGCCTAAACGCTTCTAATCGCTTCTCGTACGGCAGTCCTCTGACCTCCCTTATCATTCTTTTAGTCCTCCTCTGTACCCACTTGCGCGACGTTGGATCGATTTCATTTATAAGGCCTCCAGAATTGAACGCAGTGTTACGTGTGGAAATTAATGTTCTTAGTACGTGGCCAGGATTGTTTTGCGTCGAGGGTTCGGCACGGCAAACTCAGCAAGTAAACTCGGAAGTGACTGTTGAAAAGTTTTGCTATCTAACGATCCCGATAGGCCGAATAACTACGAATCACACACAGACCACACTTCACAGGGAAAAGAGCAGAGAACACTACAAAAGGGATAAAAACCTATTGTTAGATCCCTATTCCACAGGGATAGGGGTCTCAAATCTGAACCTACGTAATAGATTGCCCTATTAATGTCACCACTTCCTCCACTCACTGCTCAGACCACCCAGCACTGCACCCGCTCCCTTCCAGTACCCTTCTCCGCCACTCCACCTTATCCTCCCCAGTTGTTGGTTCTCTTCTTGGGAATGCTTTGCTTCCCGCAAGAATGAGGGTTGTGCGTGCATCCCATTCTACATAAGGTCCATCGAACAGATCTCCTGATCCCATGGAAGATTCCACGGTCCTGGATCTTGTTGCAGGGGTGTAGCGTCGACTTGGGCCTGTTGCAGTAACGAGGCTGCTCCTTACATCACATCACTCGGCCAGACTGCACAGCACAGGAACCCCTCCGAGTACCTTTGATGTCCCAGAGTTCAAAAAGACTTTGAGAATGGTGATATTCGAAACGGGATGGTCCTTCTCCCTTTCCGGGTGTCAGTTGATCCCTTTCGCTTCTGCTTACACTACCAGATCTCCTTCGAGCTCCTTGCATTGTAGTCCAGGTCAAGGTCCACCATCTGATGCTTCCTGTTTATCCATTCGATATTGTTCCTCGTGTCGTGATCCTTTTCAGGGTTTGTTATGACTGTGTATATAGGTCATGAATCAGAAAACGAGTTATATAAGGAATTGACCTCAACATTGGTTAGGGAAAATAAGCAAAAGAATGACAAGGAATGGAAAATAAAATAAAACTACCAATGGGATCGAGTCATAGCAAGTAAAAATTTACTGAGAAAACAACAGCAATATAATAGATATGAGCCGTTGCAAACATTCACACAATTCACATCATATAGTGAGCTTCATATTGAGAGTCTTCTGATTAGATAATATAAACATATCAAGGAAATATACTCTTTCCAATTATACATTTTCGCTCATTAGCACCATTGCCATCATCATCAGTAAAGTGCAACTCCATTTCTTCCCCTTCACAATTTCTTCGGGGTGCAGGAGTTGGACGTCGTTCACGGGTTTCAGCCACTTGCGCTTGCCCATGGAAGAGGTTCAAAGGAATTTTTGACATTTGAATGGTCTCCTTAGCGCACCATTGGCGAATAAGCCAAATACCAGCGATCAAAACAACACTGGCCAAAATAAATGATAGTGGGGCAGAATAGTCCTTGGATCCCACCAACTATGCCACGAAGATTTTACAATCTGTTCTTCCTTTTCAATTTCCATTATTTTTTATTCAATTTAAGAGAGTGGCATACCAACTGCCTGTAGTTTTCTTTGTTGAATGTGTTGCAATCTTTTGAGAATGATATTAAAGACAGGCTTACTCTGGGCTTTCTGGAAACGCATGAGAAGGGATTCATTCATAATTTGGAAAATGTTGGGCACTTCCAAATTGATGTGCTGGACGCTTTGCAAATCCATGTGGCCTACATAACTAGGAGGAAGCAGATACCCTGGTGCGTGGGCGCTACAAGGAGCTGGAATAGAGAGGACGCCTGAAAATTGTAGCTCATGCTCTTCAGTGTTATATGCTGTGTGACTTCGATCTGGGATGGGACATTATACTTTCAGACGAAGTGATGTCGGTAAGACGTAAAACCAACTTCCTTCATTACTGAGACAGAAAAACTGGGGTTCCGTATTATGCAAAATTTGTTTCTCGCATGAATTGGGGTTCGCGGAATTAAGAAAGAGCTCGTAAGCACATGTAGTAGCCGGACGACGAAGAATAGCTGACCACGGGGAACATACGACAAGAGGAGCTGATAGACACTGGGAGAGATCCTGATTACTGAGTTCAATAAATTTCTGTCGCGCGTTCGGCACGGCAAACTCAGCAAGTAAACTCGGAAGTGACTGTTGAAAAGTTTTGCTATCTAACGATCCCGATAGGCCGAATAATTTCGAATCACACACACAACACACTTCACAGGAAAAAGAGCAGATAACACTACGAAAGGGATAAAAACCTATTGTTAGATCCCTATTCCACAGGGTGAGGGGTCTCAAATCTGAACCTACGTAATAGATTGCCCTATTAATGTCACCACTTCCTCCACTCACCGCTCAGCCCACCCAGCACTGTACCCGCTCCCTTCCAGTACCCTTTTCCGCCACTCCTCCACCTCCCCAGTTGTTGGTTCTCTGCTAGGGAATGTTTTGTCACGCACAACCCTCATTCCGCAAGAATGAGGGTTGTGCGTGCATCCCATTCTGCACAAGGTCCATCGAACAGATCCTGACCCCATGGAAGATTCCACGGTCCTGGATCCTGTCGCAGGGGTGTAGCGTCGACTTGGGCCTGTTGCAGTAGCGAGGCTGCTCCTTTCATCACACTGTACTTTAAATGGGGTCTAGCGCTACATATAACGGGAGAGTCACGCGCTAGTTCTTACTGGCTAAGGAACTTAAGATAAAACCTTGGATCCTGTTGCATTTGGCTACCGTTGGTTGTGCGCGCTAGGAGAAATTGAGTTATTTATAGAGAGTAATCCATAGATCTTTCTCCCTGTTTGTTTAATTGAATTTAAATGCGCCGAAAGATGACACTTCCTTCAATTCTGGTGTCTCGTCAGTTTCGTTCGTGAAGACGGAAGCGAAGAACCCGTTACGTATTCTGGCTATTCCTCCATCGCCTGAAATTAATTCTCACCTTTGTTCCTCAAGGGTCCCATCAACTGTTTACACCAAGCATGATATCTCCATGCGGGCGTGCAATGTTAGGCCAATGGCAGACCTATTCTGACGTTCACGAACCATTTCAAAGAGGACGTGTAACGTTAGACCTGTCTGGAGTTCCTCTAAACATCTCGACTAGGTCATAGGAGTTGGCTCAATGTTGGACCAACATTGGTTACAGTGGCTACATCTTGGCCAATATTCCCAATATCGGCTAAATATTGCCTTCCCAATATTGCCATTCCATCATCGATCCAGTATCGGACTGACGCAATGATCCAATGTGCCCAGGTTGCGCTTTGAAAGTTTTTGGAAAATAAAAGTTCTCCTCAAGGCCACAAGATGGGGGTGTGGGTAACATCCCCCAAAGGAGTGTTCAATACCTCGCCATATGTCTTGCCTAGTCTCATCATGGTAATCAACATATTCGACACTTCATCATTTGTTTGTCCCACATTCGAAACAGAATCATGAGTCCAGGCTAAAAAAAAAAAACTCATACTCCCTAAGAGTTCTCTAAAGCAGGGCATTTCTCTATTGAAAAAAGAACAATTATTGGGTTCGTAGATTCCATCCACTGTGCTTCCTTGTCTTGAGAGCAGAATGAGGAAATGAGGAAATGATGTCGCGACCACTTCCTTGAACAGTAAGGGGAGGGTCGTCTTATGAATGGTACAATAAACAGTACTGTACATTCAGGGAATGATGAACCTCTATACTGTCCTGTGACTCCTGCCCATCCATGGGACATACATGTGCATGAACTATTATACTAGTTATACTAGTATAGGCAGTAGTGGAACTGACGTTAGAAGTTTATCCACCAGGGGAATACCTCTACGGGATCATGAATTTAGAGCAAATACCAGCTCCAATATCTCCCACGGTGGTAATCTCAATAATTGTGCTGATTGACACTGCCACTGACACTAACACTGCGCCAAGATGAATATTCCTTGCCAGCTTATATTGACCCAATATGGGATGCTCCTGGGGTAGGTTCCCTCTAAATATATTCTCTCTAGCAATTCATACTTGAATAAGAATTTTACTTCGATAAAGAACAATCTTTCAAAACGGATACATAATTGATCAAATAACACTTTTTCTGTCCTTGATCCGTCGGTCTATCTGGATCGTCAGAATGACACCACGGCTAAGGGTTACCAGGGTATACATATGCAGTTTGCTGGAGTTGGATGCCATCGGGATACCCTTGCTGATTCGGTGCGTTCATCTTGCTTATTTTCAGCGCTTTGATGGCCGCGTAGCATCGCTGAATGGCCACTGCCCCGCCGATGATGGATAGTACTGGAAGAATGTGAACCCGATACAGGCATTGCAAAAATCGGCATAGAATAGATGCGAGTCATGTTGTCCAGACGTGCCAGTAAATTTAATTTGTGTGATACAAACCCATCCTTACAAAACGTTCACCTCCCATGTGGATATTTCCCTACGCCTTATTTCCACCTGTTGGAGCAATTTCCATCATGGGGGAAATCCACCTGGCTCGAAATACATGTGCGCAAATGGAAAGGTGGATTTCCACCGAGAGGGGGGGGGGGGGGGG